AATAGTATTGCTGAATCACATGATACTTATATTTGTAAGTTTTTGACAAATCTTTGCTCTGTTTTCTGTAGCAGGCTTGCTATTTTATACAATGTATTCTTTTATGGAATATAAAAGCTTCAGGGACTGGGGATTTAGTTCAGTGGTACAATGCTTGTGTAGCAAGTGTGAGGCCCTGGTTTCAGCCCTCAGCACCAAAAAATTGAAAAACAAAAAAGAAAAATAAAAGGTTCCAATTTCTTCACACCTTTGCCAGCATTTAACTTTTTTCCTCTTTGAACATTGTAAAGGAACTTGTTCATTTGTTTAGCTGAAGACTAAGGAAGCTAGCTAGTGAAAGGGCCTGAGAGAGAGTTGCATGACTAGACATACTGATAAGAATTAAAATAAGAACAGACAGTAAACCAGGACTTCGGACCTAGACTGAACTAGCTCAGGCAACATGGGTTGCTACCTCCTCCCTACTGAAGGGAGTTGCAGCCCCTCCCTACTAGCTCCTGAGTTTTGAGAAGTTAAAATGCAAAATAACCAGTTTTAGTCTAAAAGTTCTGCTTCCTTTAAACCTTACGTGCTGACTCACTGGGTTAAGGAGGCTGAGTCCCCAGCTGGTTGTTTTAAATTGTCAGAGCCACTCGTGATCTGGGGCCAGTAAATACCTGACAATGCCTGTGCTCTGCTTGTGTATAAAAAGTTCTGGACTGCGGAACTGTGCAGAAATGCCACTTTTCAGATTCCCTCCTGAAGAAACCAGAAAGTTTTTTCTCCTTATTTCCAACAAAACTCGCTTAAATTCCTCCATTTTGTTCATTTCATTCCTCAGTGTTGTGAGAACTTGAACTTGGTTTGTATAGAATTAACTGTTATTCAATAATAGTCATACAAATTTGAGGTGATATGTCATGTGGTTTTGCTTTATATTTTGCTGAATATCAGTGATATTAAATTGCTCTTTTGGTATGTTTTAAAAGTATATTATAAAGTTATAATAGTTAAAGCAGTATGGCACCAGTGTAAAGATAGAGATATGAAGGAGGAGATTAGGGTGTGGTAAACCAGATGGGTAAGTGATCATGACCTGTTAATCATGGAATTCCATACATGCACCCAAGCCCTACACTGGGACCAATCAGAGAATGCTTGCTCTAATTCTTCTACCACAAAATCAAGCAGTTTTTTTTTTTTTTTTTTAAATAGGGAAGCCTACATCTAACATCAGAAGAGAAGATACAAAAAATGGAGACCATTAACCTCATGGCCACTGTACCTTTCAGTGGCTTGCTTTGTACTTTGCAGAGCATATTTTTCCTATTTTTAAATAGCCTACATTCCCTCTGCAGAGCAAGCAGTCCTTTTATTAAATGCAAAAACTTGCTAACATTTTTGGATTTCTTGTCCAATTCTTTATAATTTAGCTCCTTATCTGACATATGCTTTATAGATATTTTCTAGTATTCCATAGACTGCTTTTCACTCTGTGGAATATATACTTAGCTGAGCAGTAGCTGTTCATTTGATATTGCCTCAGTTATCCATTTTTTGGTTCTTTTGACAACATCTTTTGTCATATGTATATAAAAATTGCTAGGACCAATATAAAGACTCTTGTGTTTCCTTTTAGAAGTTTTACAATATCAGGTATTATATTTGAGTCTTTAATCCATTTTTTACATATTATATCAGATGGAGGTGCTATTTCATTTTTGATGTGTAGATATCCAGTTTCTAACTCTGCTTGTTGAAGACATCATCCTAAGCCTACAGTATATTCATAACTCCCTGTGGAAGACTGATTGACTGTAATAGTGGATTTGTTTTTGGACTTTTTCATTGGTTGATGGGTCCTTTTTATGCCAGTACCATACTCTTTTAGGTATTGTAGCTTTGTAATATATTTAAAAATTGAGCTGTCTGGTACCGCCATTCTTGTTCTTCTTTCTGAGATGACTTTGGGAGCTTTGTGTCAAAAACTTTCTCTTGAATTTGTGGACCATCAAAAATATAAATGCCATAACTGACAGAGTCAGAGCCTACCATAAGGACAGAGGCCAAACAAACTACTGGTCCCTACACCCATTAAAAGCATGGTTTATGTTTTCATATGAGGCAGTCAAAAACTTGAGAGAATGGTTTTTGTTAAACACTGTTTTTGTTAAAAATGTTTTTGTTTGAACTTGGGCTTAAAGATATCCAGAAGGTAACTAAAAGCAGAAGAAATCTTGATCTTCACTCTGTATGTCTCCTTTAGTACCTACACCTTTGGGTCAAATCCCTTGTCAACTCTGCATACAACTACTTTAATCTCTTAGGTGGTGTCTGTCTCAAGGTTGCCAAACAAGGTCCATTAGCCTCGAGTTTGCATAACCTGTCATAGTCCTGCAAGTATGAGGACACTAAGATAAGAGATTTACAGGAACATTCAACCACACCCAGAGGTCCATTCATCGCCCTAAATCCTGGTTACCTAGGATTCAAGCAGAGCCTCATAGAGCTGAGAGTGCCCCAAGCAGAAGTGGTCATCTCATGGAAATGCCTTCTGCAGTGTCACGGTGCCTTGTTTAAACAAATGGTGACTGCTGTGCTCAGCATGAGAACTCAACAGCCATGCAGAAGGCAGCTGACTACTACAGCAAGCAGATGGCCCAGCGAGTGCAGCTTCCCACAGACACACTCCAGGAGCTGCTGGACAAGCACACGACCTGTGAGAAGGAGGCCATTGTGGTCTTCATGCAGTGCTCCTTCAAGGATGAAAATCAGGAATTTCAGAAAGACCTACTGTCTAATTCAACACATTTCATAAACTTCCCCTAAAAGGGTGAAGCCTGGAGGTGACTGTGTTAAACTCATGGTTTGTCTGTCATTCAAGGGTAAAGGACTTTGGATTCTTTTTTGAGAATATAACCCCTAAAAGTATATGCCTCCCTAATCTCAGGCACATGTGCAGAAATTTCTCTGGGTGACTGAAGAATAATCATCATAGTTGTCCTCCATAATACTTCTGGTGGATTCTGATAAATACATCTGGACTGCCAGCCTGCCCAGAGTACTTGCAAGTCATCCCTGAAGTGTTTGCTTCTTCAGTGCATATTTGTCCATTCCTAGCAACCAAGTTTCTCTCACCAGGCATTCATTTCAGATGGTTGTCCACTCTGTACTGCTCCTTGTGTGTATAATTGAAGATCAAACCACAGGGCACAGCAGCTACAAGAAACCGTAGATAAGTCTTGAAATTAGGAAGGTTCAGAAAGTTTCCCATAGTCTTACTGAGAATTTTCAGGATTTGGAATAAGTTACATTTTTGCTTCCTCATTCATCACACATCTTACTAAACTTGGATACTTTTCTCATGAGAGACAGATTGACCCTTCTACCATGTTCTCTGGGATTTCATCTCATCTCTGAGATATTTTTCTGGTGACATCTTTGTACATTACCCTTGCGGGAAATAATGAGTATGAAGAAGGCTTTCTTGTTGAATAGTGAAGAGGAATTTGATCAATACTGCGAGAATGAACCATCAGAAGCCTTAATGGAAAGCATTTCGGTAGAAATGTTCTCTTCCTGGAGGGCTCATCTACATCTGAAATCAAGGGAAAAGACTGAAAGGAAGTATTGGCAAGTGCCAGGGAAAAGAGTTCAGGTGAGGAGTGGGGTGGCCTCAGAAAGCCTTGAGAATAAAGTCAAGAGCTCTCTAAAAAGAGTTATGAGTAATAAGAAAACAGGGGAATAGCATGAAGTCTTCAGGGCCCCTTCCCAAGTTGGAAATAAGAACCAAGACTTCTTGCATGCAAGCCCCGTACTCTACCATAGGGTTACATCCCGGATCCCATTTTAGTTTTTACTGTTCTCTATTTGCTATATATTCCCAAGATTAGAAATGTTCATTACTAGAAAAACAGCACGGAGTTCATAAATCTAGACAGAATGGAGCAAAAAGTATTAATTTCTTCATGAACATTGTACTTGGAATGAGTCGAGCACTGGTCTACAAGCTGAGAGTGAATCAACTAAATAGCAAGTGCACATTGAGCGATATTGAAGAAGAAAATGGAGCTAACTTTTTAGAGTTAAGTTTCCTGAAACTAGCTACTCCTTGAACAGATTTGTTTTCCTGTCTTCCACCAACGCCGGGTACATATTCCCTTTATCTGACTGACCATACCCCGAGCCCATACATTATCTCAGACACTTGTTTCCTATAACTCCTGGCTTGCCCTGAGCTTGAATTTGCATACTTGCAACATACAGGATGTAGTTTTCTTTTAGGCCAATCAGTAATAATGAGCTAAGCTGTAACCAATCAATAACCACAAATACTCTGCTTCTATACTTGTCACTTGCAAATGTAAGCCTTAGAGTACCAAAGATCTGGGCCTTACATTGTTTTGAAGTCAGTGCCCATTAACGTCAATAAATCTGCCTCCAAATCCTGGGTGATATTTGGTGTTTATGTTTGCAGCTGCAGTATCACTTATGATTCTGTAGAAATGGGCTGTAGGTGGTGGTAATAAGCACAATGGTACAAGTATTATGCATCAAACTGTTCTTGCTCACGCAGTTATTGATGTGCTCTTTCCTAGACTTCTTAATTTCCTCTTCCAAATAGATTTAAGAAATATTTGGGTGTATTGTGGACATTTGGCACTTGTGAACTGACAGATTCAATAACTTTCCAAAAGGTCCAATGTCAGAGCAGAAAAAAGGAGCAACAGAGTATAGACAACATTTCTTATTGGAAGATAAATACATAAAAACATCAGAGATTGAGGTTTGCACAACTGCATTTAATTGTGACTGGCTGGAACCTAGAACTGGTGGAGGAAAGGAGTGCTGGGAGAGCTGCTGAGGGAGGGAAATGAGAAGTAGGAGCATGGAGGGTCTCTGCTCACACTGAGGAGCTTGAGCACTTCGTAGAAGGCCACTATAGAAGTGAAGTGATGTAGATATATTTATTTTGTCTACATATTTTGCCAGTGTTCTTTATTTTGTGATTCTATGAGCAGGGACATGTTCCAGAGGTTCCTGCAGTCCCAGGTAGCAGCAGAGGAATCCACCCTGCAGGCAGATAAATCTCTCACCAAAAAGGAGAAGGCTGTGGGCAAACTCAACTCCCAGGAATGGGCAGATTCCTGCAGTGCCTCCGGCAGATCCCACAAGAAGACCTTCCTCAGAAAGGTAGAAGCCTTTCCTTCTGTGAAATGCACATTCTGTGATGTGAAAAGAATAAGTGGGAGTTGCGGTTTTCTGTCATTCAGAGGCACAGGGCCTTTTTCCTCGCTTCTGAAATATGCTGTGGAGAGTGTGGATCTGTATGAATTCTATGGTTTCCTTCCTTTCAGATTTGCTTTGATCTCTGAGCTCAGTAAGGCAGAAATTAGTCTTCACTTCATTCTTTTTTCCTTTGTTGAGATCTTCCAGGGGCAGTGTGCTGGGCTGAGATGGAGGCAGCTGAAAAGAAACCAAAGTTTTTAAAACAAAAGAATGGCTCTCAAAGGCATCTCAAGGCAAGAGTCTCAAGAAAAACATGGACTAACTCTAAAAGAAGCTCACATTGGAGAGAGAAAACTTCCTCAGTGAGCTGAAAGTGATGTTGAACCACCTACTAAAGGCGGGTGTGCCCCTCCTCTATACTGCCCTTTGTTCTTGGTGCCCTGTCAAGGTGCTGAAAGTTACAGCCAGATTATGAAGGAAGTATTATTGCCACTTGGTGTTTGTACTCCTTACACTCTGATTTTTTTTTTTTTTTGATATTTTTAAGGTACCTTTCAAGTTTGCTCCACATTTGGACTCCAGAGCATTTAAATTGTTGTGGGTCATACAAGTTCTTAGACAGTATGATTGCTTTGGGATTCTCTCTTGGGAGATATTAAGATGATCAGACAAAGGCCTTATTAAACATTTTTTTTTTGAGACAGCATCTCATTAAGTAGCTCAGGCTGGCCTTGAAGTCCCTATGTAGCCCAGGCTGGCCCTGAACTTACAGCCATCCTCCTGTCTCTTCTTCCAGAGTGTTGGATTACAGACATGGGTGTCTTGGTTATTTTTTTCTCGCTGCTGGGACAAAATACCTGACGCCCAAAATTAAGGAAGGAAAGGTTTATTTCGCTTACAGTTTGTGGAAGTTTCAGTTCGTACTTGGCAGATTATAAGGCAGAGTGGCACATGGCAAAGAACTACAGCTCAGGGCAGCAGAACAGAGCTAAGCCGCAAGCACACACCAGGGCGGAATTGGGGAGGAATGCCCCAAGCACTCTTTTCCTCTCCCTTACATATGCAAACTATCCACTCCTGGGCAGGTGCAGCTCTCACACCTGTATTCAAACTCTTATAGCTTGCTCCCTGGCCTCTTGAGGCTTTGGGGGGACACACAGACATAAACCATAACATTCCACCCTTGGCCCCCCAAAGACTCATGCCCATCCCTTTATACAAACAGCAGTTAGTCCATCTGCAAGAGTTGCCAAAGTTCTAACAGTTTCAGCATTGCTGAGCAGTCCAAGTCCCAAGTCTCCTCTGAGATGTAAGGCAAACTCTTTGCTGTGACAAATGAAAAGTTAAACACGTACAAATGAAAAGTTAAACACTTCCAACATTCAATGGCACAAAATAAGCAGTACCATTCCAAAAGGCACAAACAGGGGGATACAGAGCATTGGGACCAAAGCAAGTCCAAAATCCAGCAGGGCTAACATTATGCCCTGTAATTCCACATGCAGCATCTGAAGCAACTTGTGGCACATTGTGAGCTCCAAAGGGCTTGCATGAGTCCATCCCTGTGGTGGTTACAGCTTCCATGACTTCTCTCTTAGGCCTGCTTTGCTCCCTCTGGGCAATTTTCCTTAGATAATCCATGGTCCTGGCTTTTCTAAACTTCTGAGGTCTCCAGGGCACCTTTTGCTTCACACTCACAGCCTCACACACTGCCCTCTCAGGGGCACACTGCCTGGCCTCCCAGGCCTTCTGAAATCTGGGTGGAAGCCTCTTAAACCTCAGAACTCCTGCATTCTCCATGCACTTAAAGCCAGGGCCATGTGGATGATGCCAAGGTCTGCTGCCACATGGAGCAGTAGCCAAGCTTTCCTCTCTCTTGGCCACAGGGGTCGAGTGCCTGGATCACTGGGCACTCTGAGTCCGATTCTGAGGAACAAATCCTCTATGCTGCCGCCATTCTGGAACCTGCTGCGGCTGCCGCCACCATTCTGAAACATGGTGCTCAGCAGCTTTCTTCTCAAAGCAAGGTCTTTCACCTTTGCAATTTTGAGGCTGCAAAGGGTGGAGACTTGCTGCTTCTTGTGATGCCCTCAGGCCATCTTTTCTATTCTCCTGTTCCTTCTCAGCAATAGAGATCACCTCAGTCTTATCTTTGCAGTCCACAGCATTACTGGAACTTCCTTTCTGGCTGAACTCACAACATTTTAAGTCATCCTGCTGGGCTCTTTGTTCTTGATTCTCAATATAAATCTGGTTAAAAGCCCCCAACAATAGCCATGCCACTGCCCCAACGTTCGACTGCCTTGAAATTTCTTTTGCCACATTAATCAGTCTGCTGCTGCCCTTAATCTCAGTCTTAGGCAAAGTCTCTGGACATGAGCAAAATGCAGACAAACTTTCTGCCAAGCCATAACACACATCATCTGGAGTCCAACGACCAATGCAGTCCTTCTTCCCAACAGAAACCTCCCAAACCCGGTCTTTACTGCCAAGATTTCTGTCAGCTTTCTGGTCTTCTGAGCTCTGACCAGAATCTCCTAAACAGAACAGCTGAAAACATTCTAGCGCTTCTCTTTCAGGCGACATCTCCAAACCTTTCCAAACACTTCCCACAAGCCATTTCCAAAGGCTCTTGAACCACATGGTCAGATATAGTCACAGCAACGGCCCCACTCCCGGTACCAAATTCTGTCTTGGTTACTTTTTTCTCGCTGCTGGAACAAAATACCTGATGCCCAAAATTAAGAAAGGAAAGGTTTATTTCGCTTACAGTTCGTGGAAATTTCAGTCTGTACTTGGCAGATTATAAGGCAGAGTGGCACATGGCAAAGAGCTACAGCTCAGGGGGGCAGAACACAGCTAAGCTGCAAGCACACACCAGGGCGGAATGGGGGAGGAATGCCCCAAGCACTCTTTTCCTCTCCCTTACATATGCAAACTATCTACTCCTGGGCAGGTGCAGCTCTCACACCCATATTCAAACTCTAATAGCCTGCCCCCTAGCCTCTTGAAGCTTTGGGGGGACACACAGACATAAACCATAATAATGGGCCACTACACTGAGTTAGATTTTCCAAACAGTTGTGATCAATATGATTAGCAACTGGGTTGCATTGCCAAGACCCATGTTATCAAGACTCCTGCTGCCCTCCAAAAATCCAGAGGTAGATCCATTCTATCATAAATTTCCAGACCTAAAAATACAAATTAGTGATAATTTCTGAACTTGTTGCAGTTCTCTGAAAGTGTGGGTGGCCTGCCTGAGTTAGCACATGTTATCAGAGGAATTCTACATTGGCTGAGAAGTTCTCATTGTCCCTATCATATGTTGACCATGCTGTCCAAGTGGCATTGAGCATCTGTGCAGTGACACCAGTGACATTTCTCACAAGGAAAACATGAATAATTTGTTTTTGTGTCATAGTCAGCACAGTAAGAAGAACTACAGTGGTGGATGAATACTAATAAAGTTAAAGTATGCTTCTTCACAATGTCTTGCTCCAACTCAGATAATATTCTTTGTTGTTAAGTTATTCTAAGAAAATTCAGACAATATGGTGTCTTTAGGGGTGAAATTTGATCACGTTTGTAAAGAAACCACATGGCTTTGATTTTGATGGCAAAGAATTGTATATTATGTAAATATCATCTACCTAAATTTGGCAACTCCCTGTGCCCACCTTCCAAAGATTTCTCTGGAAAGTACGTCTAACCTTGAAAGCAGACTCACAGTATCAGTGTCTTTAGAGTGGCTCCACCACTCCTTCTTCCTCCAGCATGACAAGTGCTCTGCTCACTAACTTGTGGAGAGACTTACAATTTCCAGATTCTGAAGATATTTTTTACATTTGATGGGTACAAAACTAGTGTCATGTTTCTTTTTTTGAATTTATTTGAGCATTAGTAAGGTTGAGCTTTTTATATTTACCTGTTGTCAAGGTTTTTATTCTACGGATGTAAACAATATACATAATTTAAAAGAGGGAGATAAATCCTTTGTTGCTTTCTTCATTAATATAATGTTCTTTTGTTGTTAGTTTGTTAGGAATCCTTGAATGTCCTAGATATTATTTCCCCATTATCCTAAGACATTGGAAATTTCTTGTTTTATCTACCACTCTTTTATAAACTTCATGTTATACATTCTACATACATTCAGATATAGGTATTGCCTCATGGATTGTTTTTAACACTTCTGTTTTTAGAGCAGTTTAGATTCTCACCACAGTTAAGCAGAGAGTGCTGATATTTTCCACATACCCCCACCTCCCACACAGGGACAGCCTCCTCTACTGTCCAAATTCCACACTGAAGTGACCTCTGTGTAACATTTGATGAGCCACACCTACACATCGATGTCACCCTGAGTCCATAGTCTGCACTTCGATTCACTCTTTATTTTATGGATTCTGTGGACGCTATGGGACAAATGTATAATGACTTGTGTCCACCATTACACATTTGTACCATGCAGAGTACTTTTACTGCACTACAAATCCTCTGTTCTCTTTTAGATATTTTCTCCCATACTAGAGATTGCCTTTTTATTCAGCAGATCATTTACTTTGCTGAGCAGAAACTACTTAGTTTAATGTTGCTCAGTTTTGTTTATTTCCTATCTTGGCTGTGTTCTCTTGGTCATATCTAAGAAATAATCATCACGACCAACATCAATAAGATTTTTCCTGCGTTTTTTTCCCAGTAGTTTCAATTTCTGGTTTTCAGTTAAGTCTTTAATCCTTTTCAAAATATTTATTTCATAAATAAAGGGTGTCAGGGGTTCAATGATATTTGTTTGCATGAGGATATCCAGTTTTTCTAACACTATTTGTTAGCAAGATCATTCTTAGCATCCAGGGTATTCTTGAAGTTTTTGTAAAATGGCAGTTAACTGTACCTGGTGAATTTACTTCAGGGTTCCCTATTTTTGTCATGGTCGATGTGTCTGCTTTCATATAGCTAACATAATTCTTTAATTATTTTAGTTTTGTACTATATTTTAAAATCAAGAAATGTGATACCTCTAGCTCTTGACTATTCTGAGTGTTCTTTTGAGAGACTTTCACTTTAACTTACAGACCACTGAAAAGTTACATTCCATAGTTAATAGTCAGCAATCATGATAGGCGGTGAGAGTAAACAACCTCTTGGACCTAAAACCTATTATTCATTAAAAGCATGACTTGTGTTTCCTTCTGTGGTAGTTAGGGACTTGAGGCAGTTTTTACTAAAAAAATATGATCTTCAATAGTGTAGATATGCCCTATCGGTAACTCAAAGCACAAGAAGCTTGACCTTCATTTCTATGTCTCCGTTACTACATTAAAACATCAGGTTAAATTTCTTTTAGTTCTGAATATAGCTTCAGTCCTTCTTCAGTGATAAGGTAGATTAAAACAAACCATCAGCAGAAATTTTACCCACAAAAGTTTCAACTGAAAAGTAAGAAAAAATGTTAAGGACATTTAGCTTTTGCAGCTGAAGTCTAGAGGGCACAGCAGTGACAAAGATCAAGCTGACCCCTTAGAAATGTCAGTCAGAGAAAACAGTGAAGGCTCTTGAGCTTGAGCAGCCAAGACAGCACGGTTTTGATGACAAGATTCAGATTGGCCCATTCACAAAAGAAGCAGGCCAGATTTTATGTTTTTGCTGGCGTGGGCGAGCATCAGGTTCCTCATGGTCTCAGTACTGCTTTGGCAGGATGGTTGAGGAAATGTCCTTACCGCCTGAGGGGACAGCAAGTCTCCATGAGACGCTGGTTCTTCTTGGTGCATTCTCAGCCCTGTGAGGCTCTGCTGGAGTACAAGGTAACCTAGGTTCAGGGCAATGACTGGAAACATCTGGGCGTAGCTGAGTGTTCCCGTAAATCACTTATCTTGGTGTCCTAAGTGCTGAAGTCAGTGAGATACGTTATGCACAGTCAGGGCTATCAACCATATTTTGACAATTTTTGGATGGATGCTCTCTAAATGATAATGCTCCTGTACATGAGCTGAGAAGCAGTTTGACTTAAAATTTTAAGGTAATAAAGGTGACATAGAGAATGAAGGTCAAGTGTTGTTTTGCCTTTAGTTTCTACCGGCCATCTGCAGGCCCAATGAAGAGTTGTTGCTTTTTAGCAAAAACATTTCTCTGAAGTTTCTGACACCTTGGAAGAAAATGCACATCGTACTTTTAATGAGTAACAGATTTAGGGTCAAGAGTGTGTTTGTCTGCTATACCCATGGTCAGCTTGGCTGTTTATTTGATGTCCTTCTTTTCTTAGTCATGCTTTTCTCTAAGCTGTGAAAGCATTTGTTGGATTGAACCCAGGACCTGCACACTGAGCTACACTCCCAGCTCTTTTTCATTTTTTATTTCAAGGCTGGGGTTTGCTAAGTTGACCAGGCTGGTCTGGAACTTAAGAGCTTCCTGCCTCATCTTCCCAGCCCATTTTGCACAAGTACAGTTGTTTAGGTCAGAGGAGTAAAAGAATCCTGGAGCAATTCTCAGCCACTGGGAACTGGGTAAATATTGTACATTTTCCTTCAAAGAGCAGTTTTGACATACAATAGCACCCAGTTCACAAACACTTCCATTTGCAAACAAAAGCTTTTGGCAAAATTTTTCTTCCATCTGCAAACTTTGCATCAGGTGACAAACATGACCATGGCCATCTTCCTTATACAAACAGAAAGAGAACCAACTCCTCTAAAATTGAAAAACCAATTAAGTTCATAAAAGGAGGCACCACTGTACATTGAATATAATTCTTCAATTAATCCACTGGGAGAATAATGTCTAGTTACCCAGAATGGCCACCAACTCAATACTTTGCTTCTTTGCTTTGTCCATTTTGTTTCTCACATTTTTCCTTTCCCTCTCCATTCTTCTTGCGGCTTCCTGCAGTATGTCCCAAATAGTAAACTACGTGAATGTCAGTCTCCTTTCCTGCAGGGAGGCCCCAAATGAAGACACATCCCCGTGGGAGCTTCAGACCTTATCACTTTTTGCCTCATTTCAGTGAACCTTTAATAAGCCTCCAGTAAAGACAATGTGTATATTAGAAACATATGGAGGGATTAGGATTTTGTGCAGCTGGCAGTTTTTCCTAATGTGGATTTATACTTTAGTAAAATTTATATATTGTCACAAGTTTACATTTAATAATTCCATGATTGATTATAGGTTTCTATGTACCTTATTTTAAAATGAATAATTTGCTATAGACTCAATGCTGATATAAAAAGATCAGTTTCCAGAGGAAAATGCAATCATTCTCATATTATTAATGAAATTAAGTTTTTCTGTAACCACATGATCACAGCACCTATAAGCTTTGCCTACTGAAGTAGAGCCTTGTGAAACATGAATGGCAAGTGCATTGTTTCTTAGCCTGTGATTAGAGTGGACAGAAATCCCACTACCAGTTCTTCATAAACTTCACCCTGGCCCACCTGACTCCGTCTAACTGGAGGCACATACTACACGCCCAAATGTTGAGCCCCCCAGCTCACTCACAGGGGCTGGCACTGAGTAGGTGTCCCCCAAGTCAAGCAGACTTTCCTGCATTACAACTATGTCTCATCCTCACCCATTTATCTTTGGCTTATCCATGTGTTATGGGAGTTAGATATTTGGTGGTGCAGACCTGTGTATGTATGGCCCAGGCACCTTGACAACAACACACATGAATGAAAAATCAGATGAGTGGAGACAACTTTTTTTGTTAATAATTCTGCTCAAAAAAGTTAATATGTTTTACATGTTTGGCCCAAATGATTTTATTTTATTTTTATTTTTTATTTTAAAGAGAATGAAAAATAATAACAAAATAACAACAACATAGACAAAAACAAAACAAAGCAAAAACAGTGACATAGGTTTCAAAACAAATGGTAGGGATTAACAGTGGTTGTTGTATTACATATTGGTTTTTTTTTTTTTTTTTTGGTACCGGGAATCCAACTCAGGACCTTGCGCTTGCCAGTCAGGTGCTTGTGCCGCTGAACTATATTCCTGGCCCTCTATATTACATACTGTTATTTTCAATGAAGTTGCTCAGATTACCAGACATAAGAATGCAAGATTGATCAAACCATTAAAGAGAATAAAAAATAATAAAAACAATTAGAAATGATACAGAGCTTCACCAAACAAGATGGTAGGAATTTACTATGGTTGTTATAGTGCAGATTTTTGTCTTTAAATTACTTGTTCAGATTACCAGATATAAGCACACAAAATCTGTCAAAAAGATTTAAGCATTAACTGTTCCTTTCAATAAACCCTTAGACATCAGCAGTACAATTATCACAGCTATCCTTCTATATACATTCATACCAAATGATTTTAGAAGCAGGTACTTGTCTTTATACTCTGGAGTGGATCCAATAACTTGTAAGACACTGACAGCTGGAGTGGTGATAATCCTCTGCAGGTTGCTGCACTACACACACTAAACCAAGTCAGCAATCTATGGCTGATAGGTCAGACCTGCCCAGGGTCTGTATGTGAAAACACTTTATAGGAGCACACTCATTTGCATGCTGTCTCTGGATGCTCTGGATGAGTAGTTGCAACGTAGACTCTGAGGTATGAAATATTTGTTTGCTCTTTTTATGAAAAATGTATCCACAGGGAAGTGAGATGATGAGGAGGCAGAGGGAGGAGGAGAATGCCCTCCGCCCCACACAGCCCGGCCTTCTCAGGCAGTTCCTACCTCACCTGCCATTGTTCCACTCTGTACTTTATTCCTCTTTTTACTCCACAAATTTTCCTGCTCACCTCCTTACTGACCAAAATTGTACCTTTGAAACTGTGCCGATTGTGTTCATTTCTGTATGAAGTAGCTACTGACCTTAGGCACACATTACATGCCCAAATGTTGAGCACCCCAGCTCACATCAGTGTATCAGTGAAGCACAAGAATAGTGAACAAAGTATCAGCAGTGAATATCTCTGGATGAAACCATGAGAGGTTGTTCATTCCATCTTTACTTGTCATCATTTTTAAAGTACTGTATTACACATTAGCTACATGCTTAATATTCCCTATATTGGGAACATGTGCTAAAAACATTAAATGTCCATCTTTAGAAAAACACCCAGGACTTTGTACTAAGAGAAACATGCTTGAAGTAGTCATGGTTTACACAAAGGCTTGTATTTGTGCCACACATGTTCTGGTTTTCCAGAGTACAAGGATACTGAAGCCACTGGTGAGCTGTGCCAAGAAGGGAAGTGGGGAAGCCTTCCAAGATGGCGAGGACAGAAGAGAAGGGCTGTGAACGTGTTCACTGAGGTGACCCTGGAGTAACTGTGGCCTTTCTGACCTCCTCTCTCTCATCTCTGCCCCAAACGTCCTCACTGAAGCTGTAGTCACAAGTCTCAGACTTGCCTCTGCTGGCGTTTGACAACAGTAGCTGGTGGGCAGGAAGTTTTAAGAGCAAGGACCTGTGAAAAGAAGCTGAGCAAAGATCTTGAAAAGAAACTGCTACTTCTTCAAGTTTTCTTCTTGTTTCAGGTAAAGCTCCCCAGGGGACGCCAAGGAAGCATCTCAGTCAGTCAGAATTGCCCTGTCACTCTCCTAGGGAGCCCAGAGCAAATGTTACCCCCTATATACCTTTAGGTATTCACTCCCATCTACCATCTTTAACCGTGTGATGTATGAAATAGCTTGATTTTTTCACTGAGAATGCTCAGAAGTGTGCCTGCCTCTGCGTATGATAACAACTTTCATGAATATGCATTAGTCTCCCCAATAAATTATACACTGCCTTGGAAAGTATCCCCCATGCTCTCCTTCATCGCTGTGAGTAATAAGCCTTTCTTCACTCTTTTATCTCCTAGTGTGCGTCTCAGCTTTTTGCTTATCAAGGTGTGAACATAGTTTCTTGTTTTAGAATATGCATGTGAATTACTTCACTTTGAATTTCAGTGTTAGTGCAGGAGTCCCTTTGTGGAAGGAGTAGCTTCCTTACTATTTTTGTTTGTTTTGACATATATGGAGGAGGAACAGAAAAGTGAAGGAGACCAAGCAGTGAATGAGAAGCATCTGAGACGTGTGCTTGGGTCTGTGGTGCTGGGAAACAGGTATGTCCACTGTTTTTGTGCCTGAACTTAGTCTTGACCCTGATGTGATTTCTGATTGCTGATTTCTGGCAGCTAAAGCAAGCTCAGGAAGGGCAGGTTTCATGTTGTCTGACCTGCAGAGGTCCGTGGCTGGGTTTACCTCTGGAAAGCTCAATTTTCCCTGTTTTCCAGACAGCTGGGAGGTGACAGCCAGACACACAAAGCCCTCTGATATGCGGCTCCCTGCTCAGCTCAGAGCTGCAGGAAGTGGAGAGGGGAGAGCCCTGGACAGATGTCTGCCTGCCTGTCTCAGCCCCTACAGTAGCTCTGGGCTACAGAGAACAAGGCCATCCTTGCCCAGAAGCTTACAGACCATTTGAATAAGGAGAGAATTAAAAAAAAATGTTTCTTATAGGCCAACTTCAGATAACTTCAGTATAAGAGCTCTGTGGTAATACATGTAGAAATAAATTTAATTCTAAATGAATTTCATTGGTTAAAAATAACTACACAGTCAAACCTCTTTGTGTGAGATGTCCCTCCTCCCCATAGGGACATCTGAGTCACTTGTGGTACTTGTAAATATGTAGATTGTTTTAGGCCTGGAAATCTGGGTTTTAACCATCTCTTTGGATGATTCTTATGTGTATCCAAGTTTGAAAATCATTCCCGAAGAGGACCTAACTGATGTACTTGTTTAATACAAAGTTAAAAGTCTTGTAGCTCATTCATAGCTAAGAAACCAGGGACACTTATATGTTGCTTTAGTAAGAGTCCCAGAGATTCTTTTAACCCTCCCTTCAGAGATGGGATCACACAATTTCAGGAAAGGCAGGTACTGGGGTTTGTGCTTCAGATACATTTGTCTGCGGAAGCTGACCAGTGGAGGTTGTACAGGAATGCTGAGTTTGAATTTGACTACTGTGCCGCTGTAGTGAGAAATTTGTGTGTAACTTTTTTTCTGAGTAACTTATAACATGGCGGTTTTATATACTCTAATAGAACATTTACATATTGTAATTGTTAAAATTTTATTTTTAATCTCACTCAACAAATTCTATCTTGTAATGCATTCCATGCTATACGTGTATATTTCCCGTTTAACTACCAAAAGAACCTTAAGGTAGATTTACAGTTTTGTTCACATTAGCCCTTTAATTTCCCCAAAAACCTTAGGCTTAGTTGGAAGAAGCTCCTTGTTTAAGTACACACAACCAAGTGATTCAGTTAATATTTTTAAGATACTAGATTCATTTTGAGGGGCTGGGGATTTAGCTCAGTGGCAAAAGCGCCTGCCTGGCAAGCGTGAGGTCGTGAGTTCGGTTCCCAGTACCGGAGAAAAACCAAAAAAAAAA